ACGCAGGGACTCTGGGACCTGCCCGGGGCCTGGCTGGAGCGTGGGGGAGGTGCTGGGTGCAGAGTCTGACTGGCTCACTCCCCCTTCCCCTGCAGCATCCTGTTCGCAGACATCGAGGGCTTCACCAGCCTGGCGTCCCAGTGCACGGCCCAGGAGCTGGTGATGACGCTCAACGAGCTGTTTGCACGCTTTGACAAGCTGGCCTGGGACTCTGGGACCTGCCCGGGGCCTGGCTGGAGCGTGGGGGAGGTGCTGGGTGCAGAGTCTGACTGGCTCACTCCCCCTTCCCCTGCAGCATCCTGTTCGCAGACATCGAGGGCTTCACCAGCCTGGCGTCCCAGTGCACGGCCCAGGAGCTGGTGATGACGCTCAACGAGCTGTTTGCACGCTTTGACAAGCTGGCCTCGGTGAGCACGGCCCGTCCGCCCCCACGCTGGGGGTGGTCCGTGGTCTGGGGGTGGCAGGCCTGGGAGGGGGTGGGGACTGGCTGGGCAGAGGCGGCAGGAGCTGGTGGGGCATGGGGAGGCAGAGGGCTGGGAGGGTGACGTGCAGGGCGGGGGGCTGGGTGTGGATGGTGGCAGGCAGGGAGCAGGGGAGACTAACGGGGTGGAGGGGGGAGCAGGAACAGGGCTGACAGGGTGGTGGGGGGGGTTCTGCTCGTGGGCTAGCATGCTTGGGCAGACTCCGTGTGGTCCTCTCCCTTGAGCCACCTGCCCCCTTTCCCAGGAAAACCACTGTCTGCGGATCAAGATCCTGGGAGACTGCTACTACTGTGTGTCCGGGCTGCCGGAGGCGCGTGGCGACCACGCTCACTGCTGTGTGGAGATGGGAGTCGACATGATAGAAGCCATCTCGTGAGTTATCGGGAGGGGTGGCGGGGAGGGAGACCTGGGCCCATCCAGAACGGCCGAGCGGCTTCACGTTGTCACGCCCACGTGCTTGTGCACTGCACGCAACTCCCAGCCTTGCCCGTGACTCGCAGATTGTGCACACGCACGTGCGGTGTACGTTGCATGCTTGCCATAGGAGCAGTACACGCTTGCCATACTCTACAACATGCATCTTGCACCAGCTGCATTCGCTGCGGTGCACGTGCTCTGCTCAGCCCCGTGCTGCGGGTGCTGGCTATCCACTCCCATGAGCACCCCACCACGGTGCGGCAGACCCCGGGCCAC